TATATCATAAACGGATCCCCGTTGAAGGGCAGCGAAATAAGTTAAATCATGTCTCCCAGTTCATAGACTAGCCGTACATTGTCAATGGTTGTCTGGTAGTGTACCCACCTCTGCAAATCCAGAATCCCTTATTTGGGATGCCAACTAAGGGATTAAAATGAATTTGCTATTATATTCAAGCTTCACTAAAAGTCTAGAAAACCTACTTTATCTAAATAGTTGTAACCTAATGGTGAAATACAATTATCCCTTATCGACAATCCTATTAGAAATATGAAATGAAAGTGGCATGTGACCCAAGGGCACTCGTAGCAGTGTGGCATAATGGTGACATGTCGAAGTTATGTGGGGGACTATCCGGGTTCGATTTCAGCTGGGAGTTTTGATGAGACCTGGGTGTTTCGAAACTGAAGTCCATCCTGGATGAGAATACCTTATTGGGAAGCAAGTATGCGTGAAATTCAATGGAAACGTGAGGCATACTCGTGTAATTGTGGGAGAAACCCCAATTGGGACCCTTGGTTGTTCTTAGTATATGCTAAAAATGACGAAGCTAAACGAGTAAATGTTGTATGAGTCATTTGTTACGTTGAGAAACCTATTAACAGATGGAATCGCAATCTAGAACTGGGAAAATACTATTTAAACCTTCAAATATGCTTGTTGGTGCTAGAATTGTCCAAATATCTATGTACTTTAATCTCTTATATGATTCAATAATAGATTTAAGTAGGAGGCAGAAATGTGTAATGCGACCTCAAATAAGATATAAATCTACCGGTAGAGATCTATTCAAGCCTGTTCTAGAAGCATAGTTAAAAGAATGTACGGCTACAAGCATCTGAACTCTATTCACAATTCATTTCAGCTCAGCATGAACTCCATCTAATCTGCTAACTGACTTGTGCACTTTCAAGCTTAAAAAAGCAAAAACGATCTTCCTTTTTCAGCAGTAGTACGTTTGAATGAACTCTTGACTTTATAGTAGAACAGGAGTTAATAAAAAACAAAGAGCTAATATGAGTCATTTATATTTCCACCTATAATCGATCTGAAGACGAGATCATTTGTTTACATTTTTCTTCTTCAAATTTTACTAAACTAGATCACATTATTTGGTATTTTCCTCATTAATTTTTTCTAAAGGGGTAAAAATGTATACATCAGAGGGGGATAAAAGAATACTGTAAATGGGAGGAATCTCCATCTGGATAGGTAAAGATTTACAAAATATGACCCAACTGGGTTAAGATGACGATATAAGCTCAGATTTGTTTGCCTAGCTAGAAAGTAAACCCATTGAATGTCATATACAGTTCTCCTGCTTCAGTTCATCTAGATCAATCTAATTTGGTTGTGGCAATTACTGATCTTATAAACTATGGGTAAAATCGCCAGATTGACCAAACTTGTAACTTAGCCTTATTGCACAGAATGCCAGGCATGGTCTTTTGTCTATCTAACTGGAAGACAAACTGGTATGAGAAAGGACTGAACTGAGTGGGAAAAATAATTGATAAACATTTTTATTAGAATAAGGGTAGAATGTGTCCAAAGAATTCTATAAAGTCTGTTTGTGAATACTAATGCTTAACGGTCGACGTCATTAGAGCAATTTGTTTTGCAGTGAATACAAATCACTGGTATAGAGCATACAAAATCATTGTAACCTATAGACAGTACTCTTCTTTATTACACAAATGTGGAAGTTCCTAATCAAATTGTAGGGAAATTGTGAAAGTCTTTGTATCGAAAGCCTTCTTAAGAAGGCTGCTGGCAAATGAGGTTATAATGCAGATTGAAATATCTTTGTAATTATTTATGAAAAGTTTGATCGACGTATACTTTGATTTATGGCAAAGATGACAAACGTCCATTTACTAATCCTACTCTTCTACATTTTATAGACCTGCGGCGTGGTGATTGACCCTTCGGAGCAATACATGACTTATAATGAAAAAGCATACCACAAGGGATGTTTTACGTGTGATTCTTGCAAACAAACTCTTGCTGGGAAACAATTCTGTATCAAAGATAACAAATACTTCTGCCCAGAGCACGTATAATGATTGGGACCGACAAATGGAAGTTGCAAAAATTTAACCAGCTGCTCTACTTCAACCACACGTCTCTGAATGACAGGATATAAATGTGTTTTTACTTTTCTTTCATCCAGCTTACCGCTTTTTATCCGAACGCTAAAGAGATATTTAGCCTCTTATATTGACCTCTTTCTGTATATTCCGTTTGTGTCACACAGAGGTGGAGTTTTTCTTTCTATTAAAGGTTTTCTTTATCAAAAAATTATGGAATGAAAACACTTTATAGATATATTTGTTGTTATGCCAGATAGTTTTGATGATTGCAGCTCGACTAGCACGAAGAATTTTATTTTTTATGACCTAACCGAATTTCTTGCCTTATTGGCCTGATCTAACTTTCTTTGCTGTCCTTCCTTCACGTAAAGCCTTATATCTCGATCCAGTAAATCGACGAAAGGTGAATAGTGCAACCATTTTTTTCCGGAAGAACGATATTTATTTCTTCGTGCTTAAATTCATCCTTCATGGCTAAACTGCTTGAGGACCAGATATGTTAACAATATTATTCCTTTTTCCTTCTGCAATCATTCGGTCTTCACTGACCACTGACACGATAGATGTACATTTTAGCTAGACATTTTTCAGTGGTAACCTGATTTTTATTTTGCCTACCCACACCGCTTAGTAATGCTTTATTTCTTATCAGAGAAGCCTTTTTCTTGAATTGAAACCTGAACAAAAGGAAATGACTGGGAAAAATAGCTTATGTTCAAAAATTTCTTAGAATTCACTCGCCTTACTAACTTTTGCCGGGTTACCAAGACGATCCGATTATTCATGCAAGCAATCAAGGTATGTTTCATTTTCCACCCACTTTCTATCCACATCAATTCATGATGTATCCAGATAATTACATCCAATCTTCTAGAAATTAAAAAGCTTTATTTGCAAATAAACATGATATTTTGCTAGACCAGTACTGCCTGCTACGATGGAATAATCGAAAGCCGGCTAAAAATGGGTGAGAACCTCCACTAGATGGGCAAGTATGCGAAATCTTAAAGCACTCGCAGACGAACCTATCGATCCAACATATGCACAGATGGCAGAAAACTGTTTAGTGTGAAGGCTGTCCCGATCAAATCATCAAATATTTGGCCACCTTTTCTCAACTTAAAGTTGTACTTTATTTGGGTTTCCTGGACTTTCTTCGAGCAATCCGTATCTGTCGACGAGTGTTCCAGGAACGCCAGAGAGACTGGATCTTAGTGGCCGCTTGAACCATGTTTTGACGTTCTTCTTCCTCCTGCTTCAAACGTTCCGCTTCCAAGCGTTGTTCTTCCATCACCCGCTCGTATTCAGTCCGAAGTGGCTGATTAAATAACAATATGGGTGAGGCAGAGAAGAGCAGAACAGGACATTTTAGGGAGTGCTCAGAGTCGAAATGAATAAGGATATGACAAAGTGGTCAGGGGAGCCATTAATATTATGAAATAACTTTTAGAGGAAAAATTCGTTGCATAAAGCTGCCGGCAGCATGCTGAAAATTTGGTATGATTAAATAAAATGCTGATTTTTGTAAATACGCAGGCTATGAAAGACGTAAATGAAGAGCTATCGCGGTTGGGGAAGATGATTCTTCAATCTAATTTATAATATGAAGGAATTATGTATCTACGATTAGTTTTCTGCATTCCAGCTCTAAATGAGAGCGAAAATAACCAGTCCACCTTACGTAATACATCAATATATATATGTATATATTTAGGTAATTTTCAAAGAAGAATACATGATTTTTTACTATTATGTGAGTCAACTAATGTGAATATGAAGAGCAAGATGTTGTGGATTCCGTTTTGGTTGCAATCTCCTTTCTACAGAAGTGATCTAACTTCGTTTTCCTAACTTTGTAGTGTTGCCAAGGGGACATAGTTAAACGCACTTAGTCCGAAGTTCTCTGTCATATTAGTTATGACAATTCCCAGCGTATGACCGTGGCCTTGGTACATTCCAAGGTGCTTTGCCTGCATTGTATTCGGCATCGTCAGTGAGTCCTGACAATCTTAGCACCAAGCTACAAATCGTCAAAGCGATAAGTGAAGTCAATTCCTTGAACTACTTTCTTCAGAACGGTTATGTTGTCATTCCTTCTATCTTGGCATCTCTACCTACTCCTTATGTTTGTATCTCATTCTCTCACTATCACAATTTCTGATTTGTTTATATTCGACTCCTCTGGAGCTATGCCCTTTTGGGCTAGTTTAGTGTGGAGTATTCACACTCGCTTGTTTCTCTTGCCCCTACTTCATCTCAATTTGCCGGAATTGCTAATGCGATTCTGACTTACTATCCGAATCTTCCCCATAATTAGGTTTCGCAGGTAACAGCACCTACTGATCAGTACGAGTATAAAAATTTATTATTTTTTCATCTTGGTCCTGACATCCTCACGACCTTGGAGGAAGGGCGGAATTTCTCTCCTCGAAATGACATAAATCTTCCAAAGAAAATTCTCGTGGAATCCATCCATATCGCAGACAATTTCCCTGCGAAAAAAAACGGGGAGTGGAGATGAAGATAACCACAATGATATCGACACATCAGGAGTCAACAAACAGGAACAGATCGGCGAGGATACGCAGGACCCTACAAATTAGTAAACACTTATTAATCTTTGAGGGGGATAAAGGAGGAGTGACAGCGATAATGGACAGAAAACAATACACCCAGAGTATGGAAAGTATACTACAAAACAGGACCACATATCGTGTACTGAAGAATGAAGTAACTATGGAGCGAAATGGAACCCCACTTGAAATCCTTAAAAGATATGCATATGATCGGGACATTAACACATGGACAAATATTAAATCATAAGAAAGTCTTCATGACTTTATTATATATATATATATATATATATGTGAATTTATGAGAGCAAATAAGGCAGTAAAACTTGCTGCAGTATCACACTCTCTAAATAATAGGGCAAAGTATCGTCTCTTTTAGTACGTTTCTCGAGACAAATCATTAAATGAGTCGTAAAAGAGATAGCCCAACTATGAGAAGAATTGTTGTACACAGAAACTTCCATTCCTCACTACATATTATGAATGAACAAAGCCTGATTTAATAAATTTCCTTAATTCTATGTGGATGTGTATGTCGTAATGTTGATGAAGAAATAGGAAATTGGTCTTTCCCCCACAGTGTACAACTCTGGGAAATTGCAGACCATAGACCATTTTGTTATTTCTAAAACTGTTTTTTATTAATTGATTAGATTTGTTAACACAATGGCAAAATATCTGGAATCATTTTTCCAACATTCTATCCATTCATTGC